ATAAACTGCGACTGATGTAATGACTCTTATCGTTGATTTTGGGATCTGTGAATGGAAATGAAAGAGAAAAGGGGATTTTAGAAAAATTGGCTGATAAAAAAAATATACATATGTAGATGTTGGAAAATATTTATTTTAAAAGCTATTGCTATCGAAAATAAATTTAGGCTTAGTAATATTTATACATAGTACGAGTATAAATGTATGTCTGTGCGTGCACATGTATATATCAGTAATGGGCAAATTTGTATTCGCTAAGTGCACAACTAATGCAGGGGTATTTAGTTATGCTGTAGTAAAACGCCAGGTACTATATGCTTAAGTATTTTGGATGTCATTAAATACCAAATATGATAGTATTTACATACTTGAAGTAAATATATTTACTATTTTTACAGCACCCCATACCGAGTACTAAATTATTTAGTTACGAAGCACTAAAGTACCTTTTATGGCTGCACTAAATACCGTTTAGAAAAGTAGTCGAAAAGGAGTCTAGAAAATTCCAAAATAGTACGGAGAATACTGGTATAGTCGCGCAATCCCGAAATGTTCCGAAAAATCGCGGAAAGATCGCGAATGATACTAAAAAATATAGTTCGAAGAATCATGACCACCGCCTAGATACTCCAATTATTTTTACTTTAGTGTTTAGGCGTATCACTGGTATATGGTGCACAGTAGGGTGGTCCAAAAATGCATTTAAAAAAGTAAAGTCGGAATTTTAATGCCGCCACCCCCCAGGATTGTTCTATATCGAAAAATATATTCCCAAATTTTTTTTTTTAGATAAAAAAAATTAGGGAATGCTTAAAGGGAACAAACAACTTTTCGTAGAAATGGTATAAAATTTTTGAAAATCAATATTTTTCGATCGGAAAACGCTTTGTCTTCGAAAGATTCCCAGTAATAATACTCAATTGTTTCTCTTTGTGTTCAAAATACACTAAAATAGGAGTATATTTTTTTGGTATAGAGCAACCCTAGGGGCGTTGGCATTAAAATTCTGACTTTACTGGTAGTAATATATATTCCAACAAGAATTAGAAACCTTATGTGACAATTTTTTTTTTTTTTTTGTTAAAAATTATGTGTTTTTGGGAATTTTTTAATTTTCATCTACTGAGCGAAAAGATTTTTGAACTTTATGTGACAATTTCTTGTTTTGCCAAAAAATTGTGTTTTTTGGAATTTTTTTAACTTTTAACTACTGAGCGAAAAGTCGAAATGGCGTGTCAGATTTAAAATTTTAGTCAACTGCACCACACACATGTACTTAAATGTATGTTTATGTACTTTTCTTAAACAAAGTAAAGTATTCCATAATTAAACGGTTGAGGTATACTAACTCACAGCGTTTCTTTTTTTTGCAATAAATAGTTTTACTACCTTTTTGCAGGTGCTTTTTGTAACTGCTGCTTTAGCAAACAATACGCGCAAATATGCATACTTCCGCTTTTGGCTGCATATATGAAGCACTTTTATAGAAAAACAATTTATATTTATATTTTAGTATTTTCAAGTCTACTCATTCAATAATTAATTGGCAGAAAAACAGTGAAATTCATAATAATCAATGCCAAAGTTGACTGACTTGGTGACCTTTTTCGTATCAGTTAGCCGCCGTTGTCACCACCGCAACCAGCAACCGCCAGTTGTAAACAATGACATGTGGACAAGCTTGTCGCCTGATCGACACTAACTATGGGTAATATTCGAAAAGCACACGAAAAATCTATATTTACTTTGTTATTTTTTTGTTGTTTTTTTTTTTTTTTTTATTGCGTTACACTAAAGGAGAGTGCATTTTTGCATTTAACTACGTTGTTGACGTTGAGTCAACACATATCAACGTGCGACAGACACTCACGTATGCATGGAGGCAAATGTATGTATGTACATATGTACGTATATATGCAGTAGTTTAACACTTAGCGGCAACGCATAATAAATAACTTTTTACTTGAGTCTAATTAACACCTCGCGGAATATTTGAGTTGACAATAAATTAGCGCGTGCCAAATTAGTGCGCTTTGAACACGTACACATGTATGTACATACGCTGCATTTCCTACTACTACTACAGCGAATGTGTCGTCGCGCTATGCATGCACATGCAAACATGTACTTACAGGTATCAAAATTCTCAAGAACGTACGCAAGCATACTTAAAGTGTGACTACATAGATATGTATGTATGAGTGTTGGCAAATATGCGCATTTAGATTTATTTTTAACTTACATTCATTGTGATGTATTACATTGTGATCATATTGCATGGACAGCGAACGCTTCTCCCTCGCCTCGTCTTGCATGAATAGATGCTCGCACGCTTCCATGGCGAATTTCTTCATCTTCTCAAGCGAACAATAGGCATTGCTTTTGCCAATAAAGCCGCAAGCGATAATTGTGATGAGCAGTAATCGGAGCTGAGAAAATAAATAAGATAAAAAAAATAAATAATAAATAAATGATGTGCTTTTTTGTATAATTTTATGTATGTTTTTATTTAAAGCTAGTTTTATTAATTTTCACTAAACTTAATTACATAAAACTTTAATTTTTAATAACTGTAGAACTGATATACAGCATTACAAAAAACTGGTTGATAATGTAAATATGTAAGCTACATAAAAATAGCCTATACATTTGCGTTCAAATTTGGCCATTACAAGTTACGTATACGCTAGCGCGTACCAGAAGCCTGCATGGAAACAAAAGACTTAAGGCGCGAACACCAAAATGCAGGCGTACAAAAACGAATCCTCGCCTGAACTATTTTACGATATATTTACATAGCTCATTTGTTTGAATCCCTATGCCGTATTCATTAAGTATATACATATGTATGACAAAAAATAACTATTCATATAAAGCACATTTTTAAAGTACAGGAAAAGGATTAAAACTTTATA